AACTCTGTCCAAAAATGTGAAGTCAGCACAAGTTCTGAGAGCATGTTGCTCTCTGAGTTCTCACACTTTTAAAGCCTTATATACTCCATATACACTCTCTCCTTGGTGTGTTAACTACTGCTGAGAATGGGATCACCTACCTTGTGCAGACTGGTTAAATATGTTTATTTTCCTGCCTATATTTGCCCCTATTTTCCAGATGTCTGGTGTGTTGAGCTCTTCCCAGACGCAGTGATCACTTGTTTACTGTGCTGGAGTTGAAACTCATGGCCAGCTGGCAGCTGAGAAGGGAAGAACCACAGCTTCTTGGTGCATTAAATCGTCATATTAGGCTCTAGCTTGGAAAAACTTTTGCTGGCTCTGTTTTCTTTTTCCCTAACAATGACATGACAAATATACCGGGTTTTCATTTGTTGGAGTTTTTTGGTCTTCTTTATTTAATTCTGGGATACTAAAAAAAAAATAATAATAATTTAGCTATGACAAATCTAATCAGCTCTTCTGCTAGGATAAGACACGTGCCTTTTAATTGCAGTGACCTTGTTTGGTAGTGAATTACTATGCAACCACTAATGAGGGAGTTACCTTAGAAGAAACAGTAACCAAAAAGAATCAGTGTTTTGAGAGTGGGTGTAAGTGAAGAAACACAAATTTGAGACTGACAATTATTTCAACTCTTAATCTTCTTCTGGAGGCAAGTGATAGTGATGACAACAATCTGACAAATTGTAAAGCCCTGTGATGAATTGAGTCAATTATGATCTTTTGTCTGTCTCACCTGCACTCTATCCTCTGTTCTGGTTACTCCTCAGGGGAACTGTTTTTAGTGTTGCAGTCCAAAGACAGATTGTAGCTGGGTATGACTTACATACCATCTGATTCCGTTGCAGGGAAGAAGGAGCAGGGTAGAAGAGCTTCCTTAAAAATTGAAGTCTATATCCTTCCATCCCACAAAAGCTATGCAGAGGCAGGTAATCCTGATTCTGGAACTGTGCCCTTAATGCATTTCTAAAGCAGTCCTTTTGTAGCTAGCACTTGAATGGCTTCCCACTAAGAGAGTACGTGTATAGGCCTATGCACATTTCCCCAGAAAATATGGAAATTCTGAATTTTCATGTGTGCTGTATGTGACTCACCAAATTTCTCAGTATTTTTTATATATTAACCTTATTGTGATCTTACACAGAATAATCATTGCTGGAATATTTTGTTCAGGTGAACAGGCTTGAGCAGGGACAGTGAGAAGAAAGCTACCTAGCATGCCCTAAAAGTTATTTATTTCTTCTTCCTCTGGCCAGGTTTTTGATCTTTATGCCACTCAAATGTCTCCAAGTTTGGTAGATGAGTTCTGAGAGCCCACTGAAGCAATTTAGATGACTGTAATGTAGGGATGCCTGACTCCTGAGTCTTGCAGAGCTCTGGGCTTTCAGCATGGAGGAAACACTTGTAAAAGACCATGTGTTTCTGAAATTTAGGTGACTCCAGGTTAAGAAACAGTTCAGCAGACTTTTGCACAGAATATCATTTGGGATTTAGCTCACAAATTTTACATGAGCCTATGGCTGACTTTGGAATGCCCACATATGGAGAAAAAGAAAATGAAATGCTGGCTTCACTAGCAGCTGCTGTATACTCAATACTTTTGATCAGACCTTTTTTACTAAGGCTCCTAAACATGGATTTATGAGCCAACCTCTAAAAATCTTGGCTGAAGTTCTTAAAAGGAATTCATCTCTCTTATACTACCCACCATGAGGCTCCAAAACTGCCAAATTCTTTAAGAAAGAAAGAGCAGCTGTGCCACACTAAGTCATGGCTTGGCACCCTCCAGTAGTGGAAAATAGAGGATGCTTGGGGTAAAGTGTAAGAATAGGACAAGCACAGAATATTTGTCCAGGATCCACTCCAGGTGATTCAGGGATTCCCTGTACCAGAAGCTATATATTTGTATTTAATTGCTGTAATTTTTTTTTCCATGAACTTGTCCAAACACTTGAATATATGTCATTTTATCCCCACTGCATCCTGCAGCAAGTAGCTCCAAGGTTTCACTGTGATCCACATGAAGAAGCATATCTTCCTGTGCTTCTTGGAACCTGCTGTTTGCTGGGATCTTAAGAAAGAAACATTGTTTTTTAATTATTTATCTTTTTTTTTGCAATTCAGGATTTCAATATTTTTATTATATGTCATTTTTTACGAGATATCATTGAAATTCAACAGGAGCATGAGCTTGCTATTCATGCATGAGCATGCATTTCAACCTAGAATTTAACAGTAGACTTGTCTGTAGATTTATAGTCATGTTCTAGAACCTCTTCTGTTTCTATATAAACTCTTCAAAAATAATTGAATCCAGGGTAGACATAAAATGATTCAAGGAAATAAAAAGTCATCTTCCATTCATATTGGCAGGAGAGATAGACTGAAGTTGCTGCAGGAATCATGAAAAATCCCCTTTGATTATTTCTGAGAGCTGAAAATGCCAGAGTTGAGAATTACATGAGGTTCTTGTGCAGAGGTGCACGTGTGTGATTATGTGCATATGTCCCACACTGACACACAAAACTGCCAAGGCCATCTGTGCTGGAGGAAAGGTGGTGAGTTAAAGTCTAGGCAACACAGAATGAACCTCAGTGCCCTGGCTTAAAGATGCTGTTGGCTACCATGGAAACAAATTGGAAGTACTGTGTGAGGGACATGTTATCTGTGGGAACAAAACAGGAGCGTCTATTTCTCAATATCACAATTACCTGCAATTAATCTTGCATATTAGGATTGTCTTGAGTTATTTGCATAAAGCATTATTCACTTTGCTACAAGTCTTATGTGTGTGGGGGCAGCCTGACCTTAGCAAGAGTTCAAGGGTTTGACAGTCAGTTTGAGAACCTGTTTTATGATACATAATTTTAACAGCATTTCGGGTATGGCTCTTCAGTGCAGCTTTCATTTCAGCCTTTAAAACCTAAACTCTTTGCAGATGGCAGCATGCATAGAGGAGAAGTGGTAGAAAAGTCAGTTATAAGCTGTCACAGCAAACTAAATCTGGCTGTAGTCACACAAATAGCAGTTAAATTATCCCGCAACATCAGCAGTAGCTTTCAAGTGAGAACATGATCATGCGTGATGTTTGAGGGCTATTACCAACATTGGTAATAGAGACAAAAAATTGTATTTCAAGTCATGGCAGAGTCTATGAAGAGAAATTCTGGCAATAAAAATATCTAGCTCAGAAAAAACCAGCTTGGACTAGCATTAATGGTTGGTATGGGGGGGGGGGGGGGGGGGGTGTGTGTGTCTCTGTATACAAAAGACTAAATTAGGGGACCTTTTAAACATGTCAATTTTACAGTATTGTGACTTGACAGGCATCAGCAGAGGCATCCCTGACTTGCACAGGCATAAAAAACCAACAGATCTCGGCCTGTGCATCACACAAATGCTCAGTAACTTGCTTATGTATGTTTATACTCAGATATAATAAGCAACATTGGATAAGCATATACCACATCACAACATAAAATAATTGTATGCACATAACAGTCATTCATGTTGGTTAGAGGTTGAACCCTGCTGAATTTGCCTCTCATCTGACCAATAAAGCATTGAGCATCTGTGAGGTGAACTGCATTTTAGAAAATGAGTCAGTACACAGGATGATGCAGCACAATTTGAGGGGCTTTTTGATACTCCACGTCTTTGATCACTATAGATTTTTAATGCAATTACTGTACTGTTAAGGAGTACAGCTAAAGAAAATGCAAATAAGCTCAATAAAGTCTCCAGGGCTTTTGGAGTATGTAAGGTTATCCAGCCTGTTTACAGATCACAGTCTGCTAGAATGAAACAAAATCAAACCAAACCCTTGCCCTGAAGATATAATTGGCAACATTAAGAATCTTACAGTACCCCAGGGACAGTAGTTGCATCTTTACTTCACCACATATTATTGTTGAAAATATTATTCAGCTGTTTATTTATCTAGAATTAGCAGATTAGGGAGTAGTGTTTTAATGGATACCAAACATCTGTGATAGCATTTTCAGAGTAATAGGCTGAAACAGACACTGTATCATCACTTTGGGGAAGAATTTAGGCAAATATAGTTGTGACTACAGTTTCTTCTTTTTCATTTCCCAGGTCAGCTTTGCTAACAGCTATCTGGGCTCAGACCCCAGCTCTTGAATCTCACATTTTATTAAGTATTCACTTTGCCACTAGTCTTTCAGAAACAGCCTTGTGTAAGGTATTAAAGAACAAGTAAGCCAAATCAACATTTCAAGACTCTCATATGGCTTTCATATAGCTGGGCAGAGTGTGTCTTTTCACAATTGCAAACCTTTCTTCAAGTTGGATGTTAACACTTTCAGAGTAACTTTTAATGCCAAAACAACGTCCTTCCCTTTCAGTTCAAAGAAAACACAACATCTGTCATAATGTGAAATGTAGATTTAATGCAAGTGTCAAGTCAGGCACTTGGTAATGAGGTAAAAACCCTTGAGATTTTAAGTCTCTCTTCCACGCTATCCTATTACAGGGAGGGGAAAGGAAAGAACTGTTTCTTTGGCACTTAGCAGCTTTTCTGTGTCCCTTATCTATCATTCCCGGACATCTTCTGTAAATTAGTGGATTTTTCCTGGCAGTGACCCTGAGAGGGAGGAAGGTGTGATAATGTTTGCTTTGTGGCAGAGGGAAACTGAGGTACAGACTAGACACAATCCAGGCTTGCCCGGAGCCCAGAGCGCGACTGGGGCGGTGAGGGGTCCCCAGGGGAAGGGCAGCGCTCCCGAAACTGCGGCCGCATCCCGCAGGACACTGCGGGGCGGTGGCGGAAGCGGGTGGGAAGCAACAGGCTGGTGGCTGCTTCCCGGCCGGGGGGCGGCAGCCGGGGCCGCCCCCCCACACACACACACACCCCGGTTTTCCTCCAGCCTCTCTCCGCCGTTCTCCCAGGAAGGCTGGAAGCAGCCGCGGGGAACCCGCGGCACCGTAAGGAGTTGGGATTTCGGGATGCAGATGTCACATCGACTCCCGCAGTAGCACTTGATCAGGATTTCAAACTGCATCATTTATCTCTTTTAGAAAAGCGTCTCTCGGAGGAGATTGCCCTCAACAGACCCGCCACAAAAACATTTTAGTGTTGCTCTTGTGCTTCTGTGCATCCCACTGCGAAGGGGTCCCAGTGGTCCCTTGGGAATACAAGGAGTTGTGAGAAGTTACACAACTGGCCACCAGACTAATCCACTCCCTCTACCTTCCCGCGAGTACCTCCCCCTTCTGCTCTTTTTTTCAATAGCAGCCCTTTCTCAAAATCTCAGGTTACTTTGCTAAAGAGTTCTCAGCCTTATAGTTTCTGCCCTTGTCTCTGCCTCCAGCTCCTTAAGAGCCACCCAACCCCAGCGATTGGATTGGGCAGCCCGTCTTGACACACCACTGTGCTGAGTGCTTGAGGACGTGTTTCAACAGATGGTTGGGGTTAGTGTGTGTCATCACACTCGAGTGGGGATTAGGGGAGAGAGGCAGCCTTGCTGGAGCTGTGTGGTCTTCCCCAAGTGTGAGCTGCAAGCAAAAGAAGAAATACCTAGCTCTGGGGGAGAAACTGGAAGAATCGTTTCCAGCAGCTGAGAGGGAAAAATAAAACCGCACACTTTGTTCAGGTAAAGTAAAAGGCACCTCATGCCTCTCTCTCTCTCTCTCTCTGTGTGTCTCTCTCTCCTTTTTTTTTTTTTTTTTTTCTTTCCTTCACGGTTTTCAGAGGAATGCTAGCACAGCACACTTGTCAAAGCCAGTTGCTGCTGCCTTATCAATGCTGCTATTGTACGGCTGACAGATAACAGCGAGCACAGCCTGATGCTTGGCCGTCTTCACAGAGCTAACACTCTTAACGCCGCTAAGGTCACGCTTTCGGAGGTGTAGATGGGAAGGTCTCCGCGGGAGCGGTGTGTCCCAGCCCTGCGGGAGCTCCCCCCGCAGGCACGGCTCTCCCCGGCCGGGCTCTCCCCGCACACGCGTGTGCCGGGCACCGCGGCCGCGGCGCCAGCGCCCCCGGGCTCCGCAGAGCCGCGGAAGCTGCGCGCCCGAGCGGGGGAAGGCACCGCGGCAGAGCATGCCCGAGGTCTGCAGCAGGATGCTTCAGCAGCGTGCAGCCCGGCTGGGGCTCGGCTGGGGGGCAAACCAGAATGTTTTGAAACATTTGGGGTGCCTGTAAAGTTTGAAGACTCCTTTATGGAGACCTGCCTGGGCTCCTGACAATCGGCATGGAGGTGGTTTGGCTTACACATGGGCATAAAGTTAAGAGAAAATCAGGAAAGTAGGGAAAGGCAGGGTACAATGTAATGCTGCTCTTGCAGCTGCAGCAGAGCAGATGGATGTAATTCATTTGCAGATCTGTTTGTGAAAGTTTTACAAGTCATTGAAAACTAAGTAGCATCACTATAATGGATCATTAAAGACTCGGTATATTTATAGATTCTAAACTAGCGATCTGAAGTGTTAATTAGAAGTAGGCAAAAATGTATGTTTAGGAAGGAAATATAATTAGAAATTAGTTATGGAAGTACTCTGCTATCATTTTCATTTAATTCCGCTATTAAGTTCATTGATGTCTGGAGCGTGGGAAGCCCAGCAAATTAACTAAATCAGAAGTGTTATCACTAATTACAGTATGTTAGCTTATCAGAAAAGACGTTTTCATTGTTTTATTCTAAATTATCTAGATGGAGAAATAACAGGATGGATTATTTTTCCTTTTATTTGGTTTGGAGTTGTTTAGTTTAATATTTGCTGTATATTTATGCTGTTTTCCTGTGCAGAGTAACAATATTATTTGCTTCTTTTGCACCTTAACAGTTCTTCACAGTAACTGTCACATACCTCTGGTGCTTATGAATTATTGGCCTCCTACTTGTGAAAGAAATCTAACACTGTCCTCACCACTTACAGGTGAGATATTCTATATATAATACTGTATATAATGTGTTCTGAAATAAGATCTGTTTAGTAGGCTGAGCAAGGGGATTTATAGCTGGTGCTTTGTGATTTTGGTATTCAACAGTGTAACGATGCCCATAAACCCATGTTTCATGTTGCACATATTTTTTTGCCTCAAACCAACTTTTTTGTTAACTTTTTTTCCTTGAACAGACTATTTGGCCTCTTTACAGGCTGTTCTCAGCTTGTATTTTCAAACACACTCTTTAGTACAAATGTGTCCCCAGAAGTCATCCACAGCAATTTGAAACAGAGAATTAGCTAAATCCCAAAAATCACTGCACAACCAGACCAAGATTTATGTGAATAAATTTGACCATTTTGGTTTTTCTCTCAGTCTACACTTTCTCACTGTAAAAAGTGATGGAAACTTTTACAAGCTTAAAATGAAAAACAAAACCAAAGGAAAACCTCATTATAGCTCCACGTACAAGTCTTGCATATTGGATTTCTCCTCTTTCTCCCAGTGTGTCCTGTGAGAAGCTCAATAAGCCAGCTTCAGCACACAGAGGTTCAGACTTCCAGCAAATCTGAGGTGCAGCACTGCGAGCTGCAGAGCTTGATGCTGTCACTGCCTAGCTGAAACCTATCCCTCTTTGTGGGTATCACTGGATCACAGATCAGATGATCTACAAGAAACCATATTTTTTTTTAAGAAACTGCATAGCTAATTACACATGCCCAACTTGTTATTGTTTTACTAGGGGGAAAAAAAAACAAACTAGTTTCTCTAGCACTGCCAGAAAATCTTGCTGAGAAACTAGGAACAGCAAATCATGTTTTTCCTTCCTTCATAATGATGGGGCTGTTTAAAAGACAATGCCCACGGGGCAGTCCAGCTTCTTGTCAAAACGTAATCTACTGTTCCAGATGGTAAACATTCAAAGACATATTTATGGTGACTTCTACATACCTTCCTTTGACACTGGCTTTTTTTTCCCTGAGAGCACTTGTGCTGGGTACACACATGAAGTTCCCATTAGCATCCTAGCAGCTGTAAAAGTGTTCAGAGCTCACAGAGATGTTCCTCACAGTAAGATAAAAATAATCTTAGGAAAAGATCTGAGACAGTACAAGTTCCATGATACGCTCAAGGTAAAAAATTCCAGAGGTACAAAAAAAATCCATAAACTGCTGCATGAAAGCTGTAACACATTTTTGTTGCGGCTAATTCATCTTTGCTTGATATGGAATGCTGAACATACCAGGCATGTCTGTACTATCAACTCTGTTTGTGATGTGAGGCAACCTGCACTGCACAAAAGCTGGTGTGTTTCTTGTTCCCCCAGCTAGTGAAAATTAGGTGGGATACTTATTGTCTTCATAGAGTTTTCAAAGTGTCACCCTGCTTTTTTTTTTCTTTCACTGCTCTGAGCAGTTAGGTAGAGCACAAGAAAATGTTTTCCAGCCAGAATATGTTCTGCCCTGAATTGTCTTAATTATGTGTCAGTTTATTGCTTGTCAGGGGCTTCCTCTTCTTAGCACTTTATAATTGAGGTGGGGGAGCTCATTACATCACAATATGCAACTTCAGTTTCTGCTTCTTGGCATGTCTCCTTGGCCTTTCATTGATTTTTGTCTCTGTTCAGAGGAAAAAAATTAATTATGATTAGTGTAATTTGCATTGAAAAAAAAACCCTTGGTGAATTTCCAAATGGCATGTAAATGCACCTTCAAAAAGTAGGCTAAATTAGACATTGTTAGGAAAAAAATTGCATGTAGAAATCCAGAAGTATCCTAGAGATTGCAAGTAGCAGTGTGAAAATTATTGTAACTGCTCTTATTCCAGTCAGAAACTGATAAAAACAGTTTATTTAAAATGTTGTGATGCTAGGGACACTGCAAGCCATTATAAAACTCACACTCAGTGGATATTAGACAGCTAAGGAAAAAAATAATTTAAAACATTTGCAAATTCTGTTCTGGCTAGAAACACTTTATTGCAGACTGTTTTGATAGTTTACAGGTTTTTTATCTAGCTTTGTTTAATTTATATTCTGCACTTGATTATATATATGACCAAATGTTCATGTAGGATCAGGAGTTTGAGCCTTGTGTAATGTCAGGGCCCATTCTCACACTGATGAGGCAGGACACTTGTTGCAGATGTCATGGGAGTCATGGGTTCCATGATTTCCTTAGCTTTAGAAAGAGCTTTGGGGGATTTGTGTTTGAGTGGGAAGGCAGACTGATGTGATAACAATTGAGAAAGCTCCTTTCTGAGCGCCTTGAGAGCTGCAGTGTTCAACAGAGAACGAGGTCCCGTGACAACTCTGCAGTGACATAGAAAGAATCCAATTAGTGGCCACTCCTGCTGTTGATACTAGATCTCACCTAAAACATTTCCACCATTACCACCCCCATTGTAATCCCATCCACAACACTGATAATGGGATCAAGAGTGTCTTTTCAGAATGCCTGTTTAAATTTTAACTGCCATCTTTGGAGGTTCAGAGGATATTAAATCAGAAGGCACTGAATAACACAGCTCTCAAGAGAGCTTTGTGACACCCATAAGACACAGTTATCTTCCTCATACTACAACTTCCTAATGCCTCCATCACAGGTAGAGCTGCATTAAGTGGGCTACAGGTGAAGTGGGGGGCTGTGTGCACAAAGTGAACAATCCATTGAGTTGTGGCTGTCCCTGCCCTGCAGTTACCTGCAGACCTTGTCCCTGAGCAGCCACAGTGTAGAAAGCAGCAAAGGCAGTGGGAGGGAGGGGGTACAGTCCCCTGTGCCCTAGCAGAGGCAGCAAGTCACCCTGCTTCTCCCTTTCACAAGCCTTAAGTCACCACTCTGCCTTTCCAGCTGGATCAGCAGTGTAATATTCTCTCCTGCCCCCCTTGGATTTTTCAGTCTTTCACTTTCCTTGCTCCAATGTTAATTCATCATTTCCATAAGATCAGAGTGCAGTAAATCCATTGTAATTCTTACCAAGAAGGGCAAGTTCAATGCTGTCATGTGCTTGGAGAGGATGCTGTAAAGTGGAAAGGCTCAAGGCTCTAAGCAGTGTCACCTCAGAATACAGCACAATAATTAATAAATTAATAACCAAACCAGACTCTTTTTATCCAAATTATTTTAGCACATTTCAGTTATGTCAGTAGACTGCTTTTGAGGGCCCTGCAAGATCTTTGTTTAGCATTGCTTGTTCATACTCAAAAGTTGTTAACTGGTGAGTGTAATTCCATTTTGATTTCATGTATCTTAAGAATTTTATTTTCTGAGGAAATGAATGCTTGTTTCATCTTATGGTTTATGCACACAGCAGATTTAGTGTCAGTGATTTTCCCAGAACTTTAGTTCCCACTTTCAGAATCTGCTGAAAAGGTTGGTAAGCCTTACTGTGTGTATTTACTCTATTAATCCTGGAGCTCTGAACCTTCCCAGTCATAACCACCACCAGTGGTTTGGTTACATTGAAACATTTTTTTGTAATAGTTGACCTTTACACTCAAATTGTTATCATTATTTCCTTTTTTGTATAATTATTTTTTAATAGCAAAAATTAACTTACAATTTAATAGAAACTTGCATTATAGTATTTATATCTGCAAATTTGATAGTATTGCTTGAATATATATTGGAAGATTTCTAGATATGGTACTGTGCTGTAGAATTCCAGGCTGTAGGTCAGTGCTAGATTATCCATAGAATACTTCATGGAGTTCCTATATGGAAGCAAAAGACTAGAAAATCAGTGAGGTTGTATTCAAAAAAAAAAAAAAATCCTTTTCTGGTTTGAATGTAATTGTGGCACTGCATGCTGCCATTTCTCTGTGATGTGACTCTAACCCATCTTAGCAAGGAGAGGAGCTGCTTGACAGCAGCTGTATTTTTGTGGTGCTTCACAGGAGGTGAACTCTGTTTGGAAAGCCCACAGAGAAGATGGGGAAGCTTTTGGCACTAGAGTTCTGGAGAATAAATGTAACAGGGAGCTGAACACAGGGGATTGTTTTTCTCAAAAGCATCTATTAAAACTGAATAGTGGTCTGTTCCAGTATTGTAATTGCAATGTGCCAAGATGTTCGTTATTCTACCATGTGCACTGTTTTGTCTGTTTTCACTTAAAAACAGAAAAATGTGTTGCCAAGCCTGTAAACATCTGCAAAACTGCCAGCTCTCCTGACTTTTATCAGTAGTCTGAAGATATTTAGCCTTCTTTGTAAAGCTTCAAGTGTAAGAGTCAAGATATAATGTGAGAAGTTCAGATATCTGGTTTCTGGTTTTTTAAACCTAATCCTCCTGGTTGCTGAGACAGCTGGCTTGCATGCAGCTCCAGAAACAAGAAGGAAACTAACAGAAATCCCAAACCTGCCTATGTAAATGCATGCAGGCTGTGTGAACAAGGTGGGTTTGTGCATGTTGTGCCTGGCAATTAACCTAACTTTTTTTCCTGAGGTTTACTGTAACCAGCTCCCCCAGAAATTTCTGATCGGTCGTCTGATAACTCCCATTTTGTTGAAGAGGTTTTATTGCAACAGAGGGTGAGGTTTCTTGTCTCCTCTCAAACAGCAGAATAGCTTGCTGCCCTGGAGAAACCCATCCTTGATCTTCCCATCCTCTGCCTGCAGCAGTGTGTTCCCATCTCCTTCCTTGTGCCAGGTTTGCCTCTTGGCTCACCTCCTGGAGTGCTGAATGAACTCATCAGGGCAGTGGGAAGCTCTGTTGGCTGCCTGCCTACTCAGCTGGTTCTTCTCAGCAAGTGGACAGAGGATCCACATGGAACAATGAAAGTGATTGGAGCTGCTGGCTTGGGGTGAGGAGGGGAAACATGGCCAACCCTTTAGCGGACTGTGAGCTGTAAGATATTCAGCTACCTGGTGACACCTTCTCAACCTACACACTGGGGCACTGTGTGTGTCCACAGTACAAGTGTGATAACAGATGTTATCTGGCACAGACTGTGCCAGTGTCACCATGAGCATCAGGCTAAGTGTGCACTTCTAATGAAAGCCTATCCCTTTTTATTTAGAGAATCACTGCAGTGTCACTCAGAATATAGAAAGTCCTCCCTTACCACTTCTAACTCTCTAACCCAACAACTAGGATTTGGAGAGAAGCTAATAAGTGGTGTGGAGAGAAAAGAGGAAAGAAACAGAAGTGCCTGCTCAGCTGCTGCTTTAAAAGGTGAATGAGATTCTGAGGGTGGGATCCAGCCTGGGTAGCCAGGATGCCCCTTGGGTCTTAAAAACAGCAGCTACCTAAAGGTGTGCTCTCTCTCTGACCCATGAAGAGAGTCCCCCTGAAGACCTCCAGGCACTGCAGTTAGGGAAGCAAGATTTCCTTTTGTAAATCTTCAAAGGCACCTGCCTCTTTCCATGTGTAGGGATGAAGCTAGCTTGCTTTGCAAAAATTGCTAGGGAGCTTAACGTGGAAGAACTTGATATCATCTTGAGTTTCTTGATCAGCCCATAGATGAGCAGTGCCATGGATAAACACTGTATTTGAACAGCTGTGGTGTAATTCCTACACAGCTCTTTAAGGTGTCTCCTATAGATATATTTGTCTTTCCATGACAAATGCATTAAGCAGGTCTTTAATTTGAATCCTGGAGATATGATTTAATGGAAGAGACTAGGATACTTAGATTAAATGTAGTTTTGGTACTGACTGTACAAATGGAACACTGTACTCCTCCAAAGTGTCACCTGTTTTATTGCTGGGTTTTGCTGACAAAAAAATGTAAATGTAAATTATATAGGTTACTGAAAAATGTTTTAAAAATCACTCAGTGTTGTTACTTAAAGAATGTTTCAAAGGTCTGTGGGGTAGATAAAGCATAGGGGAATCAGACATGGTGGTGGGGGTGCCCACAAGCACTAAAATCACAATGAGGAATAATGGATGATCTTAGAGGAATATGATGTGGGACAAAGAATGGAAGAAAGAGAGAAAAGTAAGAGATTCAAGGCCCATGTTTCTGAGTCTACCTATGCTAAAACTTTTGAGGATTATTTCCCAGTGACTTGACTGCCTAGGGGCATGCCAGTCACAAGTAAGAGAACAGTAGTGCAATAATAAACTGAACATCCCGTAAATAACCAGCACAGACTGTCTTTTAACTATCTTTTTTTTTTTTTTTTTTCCCCAAGGACTGCAAAAATGCTAAGAATCATAGATCTTAGAATAATATTTGGCTTTTGGTACCTTCGTTACAATAAAGAATTCTGCATTAATCCAACCTTTGTAGAAATATTGAGCAGAGGTTCCTTTGATGTCATTCCCCACTATTTTATTTTAGCTGTAACATCTGAAATCGTGAATGTGTGTTTAGTAAAATACATGTGAATTTACCTTGTTTTTATCTATTATACATCTAGGCCAATTTATGAACTGAGACTGTAACACTATCTGCTTGGCCACCAGGAGGGGATAGGATTTAGGGAGACAACTACCACAGTTAGACCAATAAAAATGTTCTGAAGTGAACACAAGTAACTGTCAGGAATTCTGGTAGTTTCTTTTATCTTTATATCAATATTTTTTATACCACTGTAAACTTTTGTCCATTGCCAATATATAGGCTTAGGGAGGAAGGCTTCCTGAGCTCTACTGCTCTGCAACTCAACCCCTAAGTGAAAAAGGCCACTGAATTTGGGTTTTGTTTTCCTTCTGTTTGGTATGGAACATTCCTCTAAAGCAGGGATTCTCTGAAGTGAGGAAAGGCAAAATGAAGAGACTTTGAGGTATGCATGGTCAGGGATCACCAGAGTCCTCAAAAGAATAGCAATTCAACGTAGGAAGATGTGCACCTACTGAGAGGTATTGAGAGAAGTACATCATTTTTTCAGATTTTCTCCATCCTTTGCAGTTCATGTCCCAATTTGTCGTTCAATAAATTGCTCCGCAAACCTCTCCACAAATTTTGTTTTGCACAGTTTTGCACATCATCAGCTTGTGAAGGGTTTGAGATGCAATATAACAAGAAATAGGCCTGTGTTACAGCTATTTGTTTTGGTCTTGGGTACCATGGATATCTATAGCACAAAGAGGACATCTATCAAATCCTATGAAACCTTTAGAGAGGATAATAGTTGCCAACATGCAAAATAGTCTGCAAAATCCAGATAAAACAAGGACATGGCTAAGTATAGTTGATGTATGTGCTGTCTTGGACAAGAGACATTGTGCAACTGTATCTTGATATTGTGTGTTCTGAGGACTGTGTCTATCTTGTATGTAAGGATGGAGAATTTACTGCACTTTCTGGTAGCTGCAGAGCATGCGCAGTGTGAGAATATCGTGTGTACTTTGTGTATTCCTCCTTTTACATGCAGTGTAAGAATCCTTAGTTGTTGTTAAGAAATCCAGAGGGTTATTGGAGAGAATCACTTGCTGAGGAGCTTGAATCTGTGCTGAGGGAGTTCTGCAATGATATTCATATGCCTGTGACACTGCTGTTGGGTGCTGGTTCGAGGCTGCTTTGAATAAAGCTGTTTCCAACTTACTGAGGACAGTTTAATGAGGTCATCAATATGGGCATCAGCAGCTCGAGTTCAGATGAGTGGTGCTGCTGCTGTGACCTGTCTGCTCCACTCCTCTGATGGAGATTACTCATGCACATACCTTGGAAGCCCCAGGGCAACATACAGTGCAGAGGAAATTTTCATTTCCCACAAGAATATTTGCCCTTCAGTCACAGACCATTCAGATAACAACAGTAATTCAACTATTCTGCATTTGCTGCAGTATCACGGCTCAGTACTGAAGCCTGAACTGTGACACAAGTGCTACCACGACAGTGGAAGAGGGACACAGACATGTGGAGTACCAGAGTGTTGAATGTGGTAGCTATTTGAACTATTCACTGGTTTGTTTTAGTCTCCAGCCACCAGTGATTGCCAGAGTTGCTATGTTTCCCTGCCTACAGTAGAAGAATATGCTGGGCTTTTCAGTTCAGAATTGATCACAGTAATGCATGTATTTATGAGTCTGGGTTTTTGAAGTCATACCCAACTGTCAAATCTCTAAAAAACGTGTTGCAATTATTTTGGATGAGAGCCTAACACAGGGAGGTAGAGCAGGTTTCCTAGAATGCCTCACCCGTCTCTTCCAGACACCTTGCTGAGTCACATCTGGTATGAAACAAAGAGTCCATATCTCAGTCCTTATCTTCAAAGCTCTGTGTGGGCCACACTCATTGTTTGAAGAAGATTTTTGCCCCACTTCATCATGAATTGCCAACATATACAGTGAATAGGAACAGCGATAGTGAACAATGCAGGATGAAAATTGAGGTGGGCAAGAAAGTGCTATGCTGACACTATAGGGAGAGACATCACATATTAATTAGACTGAGAGACTAGGGCACTTCTAAAATAGATGGAGTAGGAGTCTGTGTCGTGACTGATAGATATCCCACAGGAAGGCAGACCAGATTCGGTGAGTGCAGAATGGAAAGAAAATATATTCTTTTTCTCTCTCAGTAGCATTTCTGTGTGCTTGTTGCACTTATCTGTTGATCCATTCATGTATAGTCTGCTCAAAGGTATACTTATCTGTTCTTCCAGGAGAAATCCTGAGTGTGGCATCTACCATGTATTATATTCTATTGCCCAGTAGCCATAGTTGCTGTTATGGACATGAGGAGGTGAGAGTATCAAAGGAGAGCTATTTTGTTTTCTAAGCACTTTGGAAATTACATACCTGTAGACATTAATTTCCATCTCTTTTGTACTGCTTGAAGAAAACTCTTCTTTAGAAGCTTCATGTAAAAAAAAATTCCACTTTGGTAAAGCCACATATGCCATGGTAACTGTTCAGCTTAGAGTACATGTACATGAATGCACACGGGGTGGATGATTACCTTGCATACCACCACTTATTTAATTTGCTAAGGCTAAAGGTATTATTTCTCTTTTCTCTTTCTTATGCATCCTTCATACTTTTCCCAGTTTTGTGTACAGTACACAAATTGTTTTCCATTTACACTTTTATCTTTTGACAAAAAATGCTTTAAGATCTTGTTTTCAATGCTGTCAGGAAACTGCTTTAAATGAAAGTGTGGAGTGATGTGGAATCATTTTAATGAAGACCAAAAGAATGTGAACTTCATCTTTTTCATAGGAAGTTTTGTTCTGTTCCATCCTGTGCCCTGCTTACATTGGCCTTTTTTGACCTTTTCCTTGATGAAGGTTAAGTGGGAATATCTTGGCTGCAGCCTTTCCAGCTTAACCAGAATGATTTTCCACAGTTCATGTTTACTTTCCCTGCTATGGCCACTCATCTTTCCTGAATCAAAATTGTTACACTGGATTTTCAGAGGGAAATTAATAGCTTGTGGCATTGACGATGAAGTGTCAAGCCTTCTTCTTTCATGTCTCCAGCTCTTTTTTGCTAGTGATGATTTTGTCAGTTCTCTTGCTAGAGATTAACAAATCTTGGGAAAAAATCTGTTTGGTTAATGGTTCCCTTCCAAGCATCTTCTTTATTGTTATTAAGAACAAATGAACAGAGTTGCTGCATTTGCAATTTATTGAGTGCATTGCTTCTGCAAAAATCTAGAAATATTGTTATGTTTTCCATTTCTGTCTGGGCATCTTTTGTGCCTACTGCCACACACAGAGTGAGACTGAATGCTTTTGGCTAGATAGGGGGTCTCAGTCCTTGGTGTGCTCACTCCAAAAGACTTTTTCAATCATCCTGTAAAAAAGTTTCAGAGACAGGAGAAACCATGTCCTCAGGACATCGCTGCTTTTACTGGAAAGGCAGTCATGTTCTTCAGGTACCACACTCTTGAGAGGAGAAGAGCTTGGT